ACTTTTCATTCTTACCCAATACAACAGGGAGGGTGAGTCAGTGATTCACACTAAGGCACAAAGGGAAATAAGAACAAATCTGTCCCAAATGGAAGGAATTTGGCCTGTGAAGAGCTAGTTTTCCTCAGCAGGGGAACAGGGTACTGGGTGTTTAGAAACAATGGCACCTAGGCTGGGCGCGGTGGCTCACGCCTGTAATCCCAGCCCTTTGGGAGGTCAAGGTGGGTGGATCACCTGAGGTCTGGAGTTCGAGACCAACCTGGCCAACATAGTGAAACCCTGTCTCTACTAAAAATATAAAAAGTTAGCCAGGCATGGTGGAGGGTACCTATAATCCCAGATACCTGGGAGAGTGAGGCAGGAGAATCGCCTGAACCTGGTAGGTGGAGGTTGCAGTGAGCCAAGATCATGCCACTACACTCCAGGCTGGGTAATATGGTGAAGCTCCATCTCAAAAAGAAAAAAAGAAAGAAAGAAAACAATGGCATCTTAAGGAGGGCACTGACAGGGCTAGTCAAGGAAGACACAAAAGAAAATCCATGCACATAAATTACAAAAGTAGGCCTTGGTATTTATCCAAAGGAGTTAAAAACTACATGCACACAAAAACCTGTAAATTGATATGTACAGCAATTTTATTCATAATTGCCAAATGGCTAACACCTGCAATCCCAGCACTTTGGGAGGCTAAGGCAGGAGGATCCCTCGAGCCCAGGAGTTTGATACCAGCCTGGGAAATACAGTGAGATCCAGTATCCACAAAAAAATTTAAAAATTAGCCGGGCATGGTGGCACATACCTGTGGTCCTAGCTACTTGAGAGGCTGAGGCCAGAGGATCACTTGAGCCCAGGAGGCAGAGGTGAAAATTGCAGTTAGCCTTAAGATTGCACCACTGCATTCCGGCTTGGGCAACCATGTTTCAAAAAAAAAAGCAAAACCATAAAATTCCCAGGATATAATGTACTAGAAAACTAAGAAAATGGCCAGGCACGATGGTTCAGTCTTTAATCTCATCACTTGGGGTGGCTGAAGTGGGAAGACTGCTTGAGCCCAAGAGTTCAAGACCAGCCTGGGCAATATAGGGAGACCTCATCTCCACCAAAAACAAAAACAACAACAAAAAACAATTAGCCAAGCACGATGGCATACACATGTAATCCCAGCTACTCAGGAGGCTAAGTTGGGAGACTCACTTGAGCCCAGGAAAGCTGCAGTGAGCCAAGATCCATCACTGCACTCTAGGCTGGGTGCCAGAGCAAGACCCTGTCTCAAAAAACAAAAATAAAAATAAGAATAAACCGCCAGCACACAAAACTAGACGACCACTGGTATGGCGATGATTTTGCAAATGCTCTATCAAAGGCACAATTCATGAAAGAATATGAAGAGAATGAGAAGACAAACCATAGACTGGAAAAAAAAATTTGCAAAAGAAACAACCAATAAAGGACTGTTATCCAAAATATACAAAGAACTCATACCATTACATACCTTTTAGAATGGTCAGAATCCAGAACACTGACAACACCAAATGCTGGTGAGGATAGGGAGTAGTAGGAACTCTCATTCACTGTTGGTGGGAATGCAAAATGGTACAGTCACCCTGGCAGTTTGGCAGCTTCTTACAAAACTAAACATATTCTTACTATACAATCCAGCAGTTGCACTCCTTGGTATTTATCCAAAGGAGTTAAAAACTACATGCACACAAAAACCTGTAAATTGATATGTACAGCAATTTTATTCATAATTGCCAAAACCTGGAAACAACCAGGATGCCCTACTATAGGTGAATAATACACTGTAGTATATCTAGACAATGAAATATTTTCCAGTGCTAAAAAGAAATAAGCTATCAAGCCATAAAAAGACATGGAGAAATCTTGAACGCATATCACTATTTGAAAGAAGCCAATCTGAAAAGGCTATGTACTGCATGGTTCCAATTACATGACATTCTAGAAAAGGCAAAACTATGAGAACAGTAAAAAGATCAGCTGCTGCCAGGGGTTGGAGCACAAGGTGAAAACAATGAATAGGCAGGGAATTTTTTTCTTTTTTTTTTTTTTTTTGAGAAGGAGTTTCACTCTTTTTGCCCAGGCTGAAGTGCAATGGCGTGATCTCGGCTTGCTGCAACCTCCACCTTCCAGGTTCAAGCAATTCTCCTGTCTCAGCCTCCTGAGTAGCTGGGATTATAGGCATGCACCACCACACCAGACTAATTTTGTATTTTTAGTAGAGACAGGGTTTTACCATGTTGGTCAGGCTGGTCTCGAACTCCTGATGTCAGGTGATCCACCTGCCTCTGCCTCCCAAAGTGCTGGGATTACAGGCGTGGGCCACCACATCCAGCCAGAGGATTTTTAAAGTCAGTGAAAATACTCTGTGACATCATAATGATAGACACACATTTGTCCAAACCCACAGAACGTACAACACCAAGAGTGAACCCTAATGAAATCTACGGACTTTGGGTTATTATGATGTGTTAATATAGGTTCACCAATTGTAAAACATGTGCCAATCTGGTGGGGGATATTAACAATGGGGGGTGCTGTATATGTGTGGCAGCAGGGATACATGGGAACTCTGTACTTTCCTAATTTGGCTATGAAAAAAAAAAGTTTAAAAAAAAAAGGCCATTAACATACCCTGGGCAGGGCAAGGGGAACTGAGTAACTAAGAAAAGGAATTGGGGATGGCGATTATTTCTGAGAAGGGAACAGACCCTAAAAATAGTTTCATTTTAAATTACATTAAAAGTATCTTCCCAGCAAATTTTAACCCCAAACTAACTGATTACTTTACTGAAAGTCTACCGTAAGAGTATATATAATCTGTATCTGTTTACTTCTGCCTCTCAGGATACCAGCTCCAAACACATCCTAAATGTTTCAACGGAAACAAAGGACACCTTTGTCACATCTGTAAATTAAATTCACTGCAGAATAGATTTTTTTAAAAATCAACAGGCTCTGCCAATGAAAGATACATAGTAACTTTCTCCCCTCCCCTCACCCATCACATGATGAATCAGTTACAACTTTTCCTGTTTTCCTTCCTGATACATCCTTCCTCTAATTCCCACTCCACCCCCATCTTTGGTTTTTCCATCATTCTATAATCACAAAGCAGTCCCAGTTATTCCACGTTTACTACATCTCTATTTTTTTTTTTACTTTTTATTTTATTGCATTTTAGGTTTTTGGGGTACATGTGAAAAACATGCAAGATTGTTGCATAGGTACATACATGGCAGTGTGGTTTGCTGCCTTCCTCCCCATCACCTGTATCTGGCATTTCTCCCCGTGTTATCCCTCCCCAACTCCCCACCCTCTACTGTCCCTCCCCTAGTTCCCCCTGGCAGACCCCAGTGTGTGATGCTCCCCTCCCTGTGTCCATGTGTTCTCATTGTTCAACACCCGCCTATGAGTGAGAACATGCGGGTGATTTTCTGTTCTTGTGTCAGCCTGCTAAGAATGATGGTTTCCAGGTTCATCCATGTCCCTACAAAGGGACTACATCTCTATTTAAGCACCTTTTATTTATCCAATTTTTGATAAAAGTGACATATGAATTAAAAATAAAGCACATGCAAAATAGCCAGTGTTGACACTAAAACAACATTGAAGAAGAGTGTTGTGCACCAACAACTTGAGAGGATTGTCCAAAAACCTCAACTAAAATCATATGAGCCTGCTGATTAGTTGAAACCAGCTCCATTTTATTACAGACATTTAGAGAAGGTCCTGGGTGAGGAAGTGGAAGTAATCACTGATAGTCCTTTGTTTTCTCCATACTAGAATAAAACTGCTAAAATCAACCAGGCATAGCGGCTCATGCCTGTAATCCTAACTACTTGGGAGGCTGAGGCCAGAGGACAGCTTGAGTCCAGGAGTTTGAGGCTGCAGTGAGCTATGATTGCACCAATGTACTCCCAGCCTGAGTAACAGAGCTAAACCCTGTCTTTTTAAAAAACAAAAAACAAAATACTGCTAGGATAAGGAGGAAGGCCCTAAATTTACTCCAACCATGCAATATCCCTCCACTTGGTCCAGAACCGAAAGATAGAGATGGTAGCACTGGCAGCAAGGCTGTCCTATCCTTCTCAGCCTCCCAAGGCTCCCAACTACCAGAATGCCTGCTCTATTCCAAAACTCCCAAGCTTTTCAATTTGTAGCTGCACTCCAAGCATATCTTATAAGCAGATGTGAGCATACAACACTCCCAAGGCCAGTTCCAAGAGGACTGTGGTGACTGGCAGAGTAATGGGGCCTGGGGTCAAGCTGGTCCTGAATTGAAGAGGTGGGCAGAATTCAGATTGGGAAGGCACAAAAAAACAAAACTCACAAAGACAAAAATCACCATCAAGTCTCAAAGAGCCTCTTGGGAGAACCTCTAATCTGCTCTCTACTTCCATTCTAAACTCCCTCTAATCCATTTTTTCCTCAGTAGCCAGACCAATTTATTTTTATCACTGTAAATCTGATCATCTCACTCCTTGCTTACCCACTTTTCATGGCTTCCTACTGCTCTTAGAATAAAATTCAAACTGCGTTTTATTGCTGACAGTCTACAATCCCCCACAGGGCTTAATGTTACTCTGCATAACTCTCCAGCTGCGCCCACCAGGGCCTCTCACCTCTTTGGTCACTACAACCTCCTTCCTATTTCACACACATTCCAAGCCTTCTCCCACCTCTTCTCTTATACCAGTGGCTCCTCTAGCTGGGACACTCCCATCAGCTCTTCACATCAAGACCTTGTTCAAAAGTCACTTCTTCCAATAAACTTCATAACCACCTTAATGTGCTCCCTTCCCAAATTAATCTTCCCTCATCATGCTGTTTATTTCCATTTCAGCATTTATGGATTGCAACTAGGATTGCATTTGCTTGCTTATTGAAAGCCTCCCCGACTAGGGTGTAGGAACTGTGAATTATTGACTGCCACGCACTTAGAAGGCCCTAATGAAACCTTTCATTGATTTATTCAACAGGTGGAGGGAGACATTTAGAAATTCCAACTTGCCAAAGTGTGCTAGTAAGAGCTTCAGTGACCAGGGCCTCATTATTCCTTCATCAGTCTCCTGAATCACCAATTTCTGCCTCTTCACTGGATCACTGCCAGTACTATAGATACTAACATGCTACGATATCTTAATAAAATCCTCCCTAAAAATATCAACTTACTTATTTAATGATACGTAGTGTTTACCATGTGCTGGGAGTATATCAGCAATCTATACCCTCATCTTTTATTATTTTTATGAATGATTCTATCTGATAACACATTTAACTAATGCTTTATAAAATCAGGAACTCAGGGTAAACACAGATGCTTATGCAGTGTGATAGAGGAAACTTTACTCTAAAGTAAATATTTGCTTCCAAAATTCTTCCGACACTAAAACTATTAATTAGCACATTAGTAAAAATTACCCAAAGCACAAAAATTTCAATTACATATTTAAATTATAATACTTATTTAAGTAATACTACTTAATTCCAAATCCTGACCTTACATTGGTTATGTCATTAGTAAAGACAACATGCAGAATTTTACCTTAAAATTTAACATTTCAAAAACTACGGCATATATATATATGCATATCTGTATGTGTATATATATATATGTTTCCCCTATGCCCACATATATATGAAACCATATATTTATTTTATTTATTATATATATTTTCCCCCTACCTAACAATAGAACCTGCTGCTTCATCCCAGGAATGGTCAAATAAATTTAGACCTATAAGACCTGAAATAAAAAACAATGAAAATAAGTTCATGTATGCCCTAGAATGGAAAAACTTCAGTTGTAGTTTGGAAGGCCACAGAAGAAAAGATAAAATTAAATGACAGAAACATTTACACAAGTTCTTGAGTCAAGTTCTAATCTAGAAGAGTCACAAGTAAAATAAAATCATCGACTCAACTGGAGCATGTGCAAGGATATGCTTGTAATATAAAATTCAGCAAAATGTGTTAAATCAAATGCTGATATCAAACTTAGTAAAACTGTAAATTTCCACAATAGTGAAACTCAAGTATCTCATATCTGCCACGTTTTTCTGAAGGACTAAAAACTTCTGGCATATATACCTTTCTCCATATATCCAGGACAATCAATTAGAAAAAAGGTATAAACTTTTTTTTATATTGAACAACGAAAGAAAGTAAATTACTTTCTGCAGACCAGACAGAAATAGAACCTTCAGTCCTATCCGGTACAGAAACAAAGCAAAGAAATAGTATTACCTGTGCCTAGAGATACAAAAACAAAATATAGCTTAGGAATAATACTCCACAAAATCCAAAGCTGCAGATATTGTTCCATAAAGTTGTCCTCTCCTGATGGTTTCCTGATTTTACTGTGTACATTTAAAAACATCTGCCTGTCCATCCACATCAGTATTGGATATGCTGCTCTCCCTACACCCACTCCCCTCTATAAATCCAGACCTCAGTGTCTTCATTTGCGTCTTTTTACTTAGTACAGACTTTCTCCTTGTCATCTTTATTTGTCTACACTGTAGAAATATAGTTGTTGAAGCTCAATATTTAACAATTTTTAAATTTCTTTTCAAGATGCTTTGCAAATATTTAACAATTTAAAGGTCTGTTTGGTAGAATTTTAAGTTCATGTTTATTTAAAAAGCAGATAAGCAGGTGTAGGTTTTATTTTTCCTCTAAAATAAATTGAAATGTGTATATACATGCTTTTTTTTTTTTTTTTTTTTTTGAGACAGAGTTTCACTCTTGTTACCCAGGCTGGATTGCAATGGCGCGATCTCGGCTCACCGCAACCTCCGCCTCCTGGGTTCAGGCAATTCTCCTGCCTCAGCCTCCTGAGTAGCTGGGATTACAGGCATGCGCCACCACGCCCAGCTGATTTTTTTTTTGTATTTTTAGTAGAGACGGGGTTTCACCATGTTGACCAGGATGGTCTCGATCTCTTGACCTCGTGATCCACCCGCCTCGGCCTCCCAAAGTGCTGGGATTACAGGCGTGAGCCACCGCGCCCAGCCTATACATGCTTCTTGTCCATGAAGCAATAAAGAAAAGACAAAATGCCCAAAGAATTAGAATTCAAAGTAGACTGTGCTAAATTCTCTATGTCACCAGCATTCAGAGGAAAGAAAAACCACTTTTAACTGAACTTACCTAGATATCTGGCAGGGGGTGGCAGAGGCCACATGTGAGGAAGGTTTGAAGAATGAGAACTCAAAACAGAAAGAGCAGCAGAAGTCCTCCCTACAAACAAGGAACAGCCATTGGTCCAGTATGCCTAAATCCCTGCCCACATCAGAGAAAAAGATCAACCCATCAATAAAAACAGAAAGAGAAACTGTCATGAAGCAACACTCATCTTGGGATTTTATAGGGAATCATCATTAAAGCTTTATTCTACGGTCACATTTACAAACCTAAACTGGAACTCACTCCCTTCATCTATAGGAGATACAGGCTGTAAAAGTGGGTTTGAAATCATGCTGTAGAGAATTCTGAATGTCAGGCTTTTCACTCTGGTTTTCATTCTGCAGGCAAGGATGTGAAGCCATTTGAAAAGGGAATTGCAGGGCTGTAGGTGTCGAATTAAATGGAAGGGAATGAAGAAATGGGCTTGGCAACAACAGGAGAGGCAGGTTTGTTAAAAAAAAAAAAAATGAGATGAGTGCGTTGGAACCAAATTATTTTCTGTGTGCAAAGAAAAAAAAAAAAGAAAGAAAAAATGAGATGAAATAAGTTGGTATCTAATTTGCATGTGGGGTACAAAGGTAGAAGAAAGAATTCACATTGCCTCAAGATTTTATTCCTGGGTAACCAAGAACAAATAAAATGGAGGGAGGGGAAAATAGGGCAAAATGACAGTGAACTGGCTTAAGTAACTACTAGTCTTGTTGGAAATGTCTGCATCAGATCCATGAATTCGGTACCTTCTGTGTGTCTGACCCTATTTCCAAGCACTTAGGATACAACAGTGAACGCAACTGGCAAACACCTTTATCCATGCGGAACTTACCAGACAACAGATAACAAAAAAGTAAATAAACAGGTAAATATATGTGTGGTGTTGTATGCAATTTTAAATAGGAAGATAACATCTAAACAAATACCCAGAAGTGAGAGAGTGAGCTATACAAAAACCTGAAGAAGAGTCAGCAACTAACAAAACAATATCTCAAAATAATTTCACTCCACAATGCTTTTGAAGTCAGCAGCTACACTGCAACATATCTCTTTGGGACCCAATCCTACTTCCTTGGGTGAGCATTCAGGGTTCCACTTCTTGATTCTATCCTACCCAATCAAGAAAACTTCACCAATAAAACAGTGATAACAAACTGCCTAGTGGGTCAATTTGTTTATATTGGCTGTTTACATTTCCTACATAGAAGAAAAGGGCTGCATTTCCAAACGACAAAACCAAAGTACATTAGAACATGTTTGTACAAAGCTTAAGAAGACAATCATCTTGTTCTCAAAGCAATAATTGATGTAGCAACTTTGAGACTTGTGATTTAAATCAAAGGTACTGAAGAATGATTATGAATCATGCAATTAAGCTACCAAGCAGGATATTGCTGGAGAGGAAAGCCATTCACAGCACCAAAAATAAAGATAGTAACTATCATCAAAACTAGAAATAATATCATCCTTTGATTTTATACTTTGTTGATCAGCAAAGCTGAATTCTAGCCTAAGCTCTGCCATTTATTGGTTCTGAGTCTTTGGCCTCATCCTTATCTGTAAAGACCAGCTGGTCTGATTTTTCAGATTCCTTTCCATTCTGAGATTCTCTGCAGCAAGCTATGGTTCCTATGATGTTTATTTATGTATCGAGGGTGCTCTGGTTTACTTAGTTTTGCAATAATAGTACAAAGAAGCATCCACCCAAAATAGCACAACTTAAAAGTTCTGTATAAAGCGATATGAAACTGCTTTTAAACAAACCCACCTTAACTTGGTGCTTAAAATGAGGCTACTCTCACCCTAAAGGCGCTGCTTCTTTTTTCATCCCTGTTTTAGAACAGCCTTCAAGACTGAGGTTTCTGCTGATGTGATTTGGAACAAGGTGGATGATCACATCAGATCACAACCCTAGTGAAAGAAAAGTAGGAAACCTTTCTTGTGGGACTCAGTCTAAGAGAACTGTTCCAAAGGAATCCCCAAGCATTTCTAGCAACAGCTGTAAGGAAAGAAAACACGTAGGTTTTCTGGTGATGACAATCCTGGAGATTAATGCCCATCTGAATGCATGATAAAGAAAACAGCCAACGTTTATTGTGGACTATGAGCCAGGTATTAACTCATTTAATCTTCAAAAACTGCTGTAAGGTTGGAGCTATCATTATCCCCATCTTACATACGCTAAAACTAAGGCATAGAAAAGTTAAACAAATTGCTGAAGTTTTCGCAGTTAATAAGTAGATTCAAAACCATGATTCTAGCTCCAAAGCCTGCGTGCTTCATCTCCAAGATACACTCTCTACGTAACCCTTGCTGTCCATGTTTAAATAACAGTCCCGTTTCTACTACAGTTTCCTTACAAACTGAGTAACACAAAGTCAAAGTAAAGCCCCCCGCAAGCTCACTATCGGACGTCTCCTCCAGTCCTGAACCACAAACTAGAAACAGATTTTAAGGATATACAAACTTGACAGTACCTAGGGCTTCTCGAGACAAGGGGTGTGTGTAGAACAACTCAAACGTTTTCTGTCTCGCAGCTAGTGCAGTCAAAGAGTGCGGCGAAGTCGCAGCGCGCCCAGGTGCGGACCCGGCGTCTCCTCTCAGGGGTTCACAGGAGGGGCCGCCGGCGCGCCGCCCCGTCCCGCCCCGCCCCGCCCCGCGCTCCTGCTGAGCGGGCGCGGAAATGGCACCGGGGCCCGTCAGACCACGCCACACCTGCCTCCCGCGCCCGCGAGGTCCCTCCACCTGGCCCGCGCAGCGCCAAGGGTGCTCTCCGCCAGGCTTCCTCACGCAAGCTCGATGAGCCACACGCTTACCTTAAGGGACCCACCCCCGGCGCGTGGCGAACGGGAAGCGCCCCCACTGCTGCGCCACACTCGGCCAGGACAGGCACTGCTACAACCGCTCCCAGCAGCGCCAGCCGCGCTCCCGCGGGGGCCAAACCTGTAAGTCCCGCCCCCGCAACAGGCCCCGCCCTCGCCAAT